TGTCACAGGGAGGCAAAAGGTCACGGAATTATCACCGAGCATGCTTTCCAGGTTTGCGACGAGCGTTTTCTTTTAGGGGCGGTGGGTGTGGATGGGCGGACGGAGGGGCAACTACGAGATCTGGAGCGACAAATTAAGAAATGGACTTGAATTCAAAAGAGCCTCACAAACTGCGCAAGTCTTTACTGCCTTGCAGGGCACACTGTCTTTTGATTGAGAAAGCCACATTTAAACCACCAGTACTTGGCCCAGGTATCGGCCACAGAAAAAAAATAGAGTAGAAACATTTCTAGCCGGATGAATTTGGGCGCTCCTGTAGTAGCCTGTCCGTTTCCTTAAGTCGTCGCTCGTTAACGGGCACGACTCTAGGAAGTACTGGTGGTTTAAAGGTGGTGTGTAAACTGGTTAACCATGGCTGCCATGTAGTCGCTCTGGATAGGATCCCCAAAGACTTTGGGGGGGTTCCACTTAGATGGTCAGTGGTGGGTGGGTATAGTCTGCCCAGACCCAATGCGTGTATAGGGATGTGGGGTGGGTGGGTGGTCAGTGGTTGGTGGGTATAGTCTGCCCGGACCCAATGTGGTTGGTGGGTATATTCTTCCCGGACCCAATAACTGCCATTTCATCAAAATGAACAATTTTATTTTTTGAACGAGATTGAAACCGAGTTTTTTGGCCGAAAACTCATCCAAATTTGCTGCTGCTGAGGGTCCGGCGTTCTTTTTTTTTTTTTTTTGAGAAAAAGGGGCCCAGTGCCCAAGGCTCCAATTCGCAGCCAGGAGGCTGCGCTATACCCGGTTGCATTTTGTCGCGTAGCGGCGCGGCCTTTTTAGGAAATGTCGACGACGTCTAACCGGGTCTAACGGGGTTTATTGGGCGTGGAGAAGGTACACGGTCGTCGTCGGGGCAGAGACCGATCGGTGAAGCGGTAGGCCTAGAGCTTTGAAAGCGGGCTACCAACGGTCTGTCGCGGAGGTCGTCCGGTGGTGTTGGCAGGCGCCGCCCGGGAATTCTAGTTCGAGGCTACGTTCGTTTTTTTTCTTTTTTGCCCCCTCTTCTTTTTGTCGTGCGTGACCCCTCGATTCTTTTGATTTGCCACCCCCTCTTTTTCTCATTTCTCATACCGCGGCGGGTTTGGGTTTGGGTCATTTTTGAGGTTCCCTCCATGCACCATCGGTTTACCTCTTCGACTCTGGGCGTCGAGTGTCTGGAGCCGGTGTCGGAAGAGGCGTTCATGCAGAGGAGCGGACAACGATGCAGATGACGACGACAGCGGCTACCCTTCTCCTTCTTCTTGCTCCTTCGAGCTCATTCACTCTCTCTCTCTCTCTCTCTCTCTCTCTCTCTCTCTCTCTCTCTCTCTCTCTCTCTCTCTCTTCTTTTTTTTTTTTTTCCTTTCTTTCTTTTTGTTGAAGTGTGCACGACCACTACTCTCGACATGGGGCCGAAAAAACTCTTGAAAACACAACTCTTGAGAATGTCTGACAGCTCTTGAAAAATTTCCCCGTTTCAAGAGTGGTGTGGCGAGGCCCATTCACAATCCTTTTCGTCCTGTGCGCTTCAAGCCCTGCCCGCCGACCAGTCTCGCTCCCGAGTGGCTGCGCTTTCGCGCTTGCGCGGCACAGTTATGGAATTGATTACAGCACTTATACACACGCCTCTTCCCATGAGGGCTGGATGAGCCTCAGCCACTGCTGTCCGGCGTTCTAAACCCCCTGGATGTATGTGGACTTAGCTTACATCCAGTTTACCACGACAAACAGCCGACGCCATACTTGCGAAGCTTGAGACCAGATACATCCAGTTTACCACAACGAACAGCCGATGCCATACTTGTGAAGGTTCCCATGCTGAAGGATGTGCCGATAATGTTATCGGAGACTTGGCCAGGCATAGTGAATCTTGCCATGGCATGCGAATGATGCACACACTCAAAACATACACACACATACTATGCCAAAGGTATTGCCATAAACTGCAGCAGGTGGTAGAGTGGTGGTGCCTGCATCCAGCCGGAGCAGTCTCCCAGCTATGACACCCAGGTAAGTGCTCCCGTTCCCAATGCCTCTGAACCTCCAATCTCACCCAGAGTCTCCTCCTAGCTCCTCTCTAATGCTAATCATGGCTCCAGCGCTGTGACGAACCACTTTCTGTAACGCGCGATTTTCTGCGCGGTTGCAATGAGGGGTCCTAAGCTGGGAAGATTGGGCCAATTACGGGAGACCGGGATCTGTGGAGATTTGCATCAGTGTCCTCGTTTTTTCATCCTTTTTCGTCGTTTCTTTTTCGAACGGCCGGGCACGGGGTCAGGTGTGTCTTGGGACGGCCGGTTGATTGATTGGTCGGATGGTTGTCTGGCGCGACGCCACGCGCGCGCTCAATTAATAAATGTTGACATCGTTTCTTTTGGTTCGGTTTTCGATCTTTTGGGTGCGGACATCGCGCGGGAAATTGCTTCGTTCTTTTTTGAAATTCCTCTTGAATCTTTTTCGAATTTTGTCGAGCCCCCAATGGCTCTCGGAATTTCGGACTTTCTTTTTGGAATTCGTGCTTTTTGCTTTTTCGCATTAGATAGGAATTTAGGAATTCAGTAATTAGGATTTTTCCTACCGCGCGGCGCCTTTTGTTTACGCGCTTCTTCATGCGGCTGCAACAGTACTCTGATTAGTGGGCGCCCTTAATCGTATGTGTAACTGTAATTTTGGGCGGGCGCCATTGTAACTGTATCTCTC